AACCAAAATAACAAGAGTTCCTACTGAGTTTCGCGATAATGCTAGTGAAACGCATGGTCATGTGACCTCAACTGCATCATTCCTACTTATCGTAGCACCGTTGCCACGTCGGATAATCGCTGAGCTTTCCATGCCTCACGACTTGTTAGCGCCGCCAACGTTCACCTGCAGGACACGATGTAGCAGCGCGTTACTTCTTCTGCTCGAACTAGCGAGCACGGCTGCACTCTTCGCGTTATACGCTTTAGCTTCTCTTCATCAAACGACGTTATTGTTGAGCTGCCTGGTTGCAATTGCGAGCATTCTCTCTGGAATCCTAGTAAGGCCGTACTTAAAGGTTTATCTTAACGAATGAGAATAACTAAAGCAGACTTGTAGGGAGTATGCAGATCGACACCAGCGGCAGTTGCCAGTTTTATGATTGCGATCGGGTCGTGCTTTGGGTTTGCTCTACTCGGAGGGTTATGCATCTTGTTCACTTCCGATGTGGAGCTGGAGGTTGCCGCATTTCTTGACAAATCTGTTGTACTACGAGACGTTGAAAACCGAGAGAAGGTTGACACTCTCCTCTTCCATTCCTCACATTGTGGGTAATTTCACTCATATTTACTTCTGTTACTGAACAGCTTCTGAAAGACACTAAGAAAATCCTAGAGTTTGCTGCCGTTGTTCTCATTGTGAGTGCTGTAGCTCACCTGTGTTTCAGCTGGTATCTCCGTCGATTGGTGGGCGAACGGCGCGCTGCTGTTGCCTTCCTGCAGGTACATTTCTCGATTATTTACTTGACTCATTTCGTACTATTGAGTGTACTGTTGCAGATTTTCAGCGTGATCATGTTCCCGCTGTCTCTGTTTCTCATTCTCGGTGGCAACTACATCGTCGATACAGGGACTCTAGCCTCGGCACCATACGCAGGACTCGCGATTTTTTCTAGCGGAGTTCTGCTGCTGATTGTGGCGCTCCTTGCATTTATTGGCGGCAACTTCGAATATCGCCGACTACTTTCGATCTGTTACTTGATTTCAGCGCTTATCGGAGCGTGTTTGGTTGTACTGGCCATCACTTGTTTCGCTGGACGAAGCTTTGTTGAGGACAATATCCTCGACAACTGGGAAAGTATTCGCATTCTACTACCTCCGACTTCACAAGTTGCGTACGATCGTGATCGGTTCGCGGCAGTCATGCGATCCAACTTGAATACTGTTGCGTATGTGGGACTGCTATCGGGGATATTCGTGCTATCTGAAGCAGCTATGAGCTTAACGCTCATGCGTCATGCGTCGTCCTGGAAACAACAACTGGCCCGAGCGAAACGTAGTATGAAAGACCTACAGCAGACCGCAGTGAGTCTTGATCCAATTGAGCCTAGCACTGACGTCCCTCAGCCAGAATCCGCACTCTCCTTTCTCCAACAGGTGAGTTACTTTTTTTTTTTATTGAAATACTACGTGGAAACTTCGTTGATATGGTTAGTCTGGTGTAGTGGGTCAAACACTTCGAGACCTCGACAAGGCGGCAACGGATAGCCATGCGGATCGTTATGGCGCTCATTGTACTTGCGGTCATGTTTATCCTTGCAGTTATGTGCGCCAACGTGATCTTCGTAGCGAAGTGCAGCACTCTTGGCAATCAAATTGCATCTGCTAGTATTCCTCTTGTCAACTCGAGCTCAGAAGACATAACGAACATCATCCATGTGCAAAACTCGTTTTCGCGTGGAGAAATCGTCGTTTCGTCATCAAATTCGACAACAGGCAGCGTGGAACTCAAATTTTACTCATCCGATGTACGTCGCGTACCAGCGTACCCTTAGTGCTCTGGGCCATGATTCTAACGGATCGATTTTAGGGTGGATCTGTCGGAGCATCGGATATGTATATGAAAATGGTCAAGAATGAGACGGTTGGTATCAATGTCTGGCCGATGGATGCAACTCAATTTCTGTGGTTAGATGGATCGTGTCAGGTATGCTGCATTGGATTTTTCCGTTGTTTGTTTTATGTCTTACAATGACTGTGTAGCGGTCCATGATGGAGATTGAGTTGCCGCAAGAACCACTTCAAAGTCTTGTCGTGAACAGCAACACATCTGTGGTGGTGAAAGCATCAGAAACTATGAAACTGCAAGGACTTAGCATTACGACAATGCAGTCCAGCGTCCTGTGCTCAAATGTTGAGATTCAGGGAGATGAAGTTCTCCTAGAAACTACTTCGGGTGATATTAGTGTTGACAGCATGACAATCGACGCAAGCAACTCATCAACAGCAGAATCGCCGGCAAGAGTTTATTCAGGGCTTGGGATCGTCAGTTTATCGAATGTGGTTTTATCTCAGTGTGATCTTCAAGTTGAAACGGGAGCAGGCAGTTTAGTGCTGTACGATGTTCATAGGTAGCATTTCTTATGAAGTATTATTGGGGTGGTGTCGAACTAACTTGGCATGTCTTCACAGCTCTGTTAATACTGGGAGGAGTCATATTCAAGCCAAGAGCTCCTCTGCATCGATTTCAGTGGACGACATACATGCAAACTGGATCACGTTGAAAAGTGGAACAGGTGATATCTATGGATCAGAGATATTAATCGAGGTAAAGTCCCTTGCTAATCACGAAGTACAGTTAGCATTTGTGATACTTATTGGCGTATCATGCTTGATCAGGGCAACTCTGCCTTCATGGGTCGGCTAGAAGTCACAACAATATCGGGCGACGTCGAACTTAAAGAAATCACAACAAGCGGTACCATCCACGTAGAATCAGCCTCAGGCAAAATTTCGGTGCAACTAAATGTAAGATTTAGATTGCCATTATTACGCCCATCTCGTCGTCTTAATAGTTTTTGTGTGTGTGTGTGTACAGACCGAAACGTTTGCCGGTATGTATTACATGAGATCAGAGTCCGGATCCATGTCCATTCGTCAAACCAATTATTCCAACGATGTCGTTGTAGAGGCGGAGGTAACAAACCTGAAAGTAGAATTCGATGAATGCTGATGTTAATAGGATTTTTGTTAATGCATGTACAGGATTCAATCGATGGGCTCGAGAAACACGGCAGTATCAACTGCGATCCAGCAGCCAACAACTGCATAGCGTTCGGAAGTCTACACTTGCGCTCCAACTTTGGCGACATCGAGGTCGTACTCGGTTGCAATTCGTACAGTTGTAGTTAACGAGATGAAAAAAAAATAGTTGATTCAATGCAGCAACAAATTCTATGAAGACAGTTAAAACCTTTCCGAAGTCTTGACATCTACGTCTTCGTGGAGTTCTGTTCACCATAATAGTATTCGTAAAACAGATCCATCAGCGGTGGCTTGACATAATGGAAGCTAATCGAGTCCGGGGCGCAGCAATTTTTTCCGTTTTGCCATCCAATCCCATAATGATCCGAGAACCAATTGTTCTCCTGGTAAATCGACGTGAAGAGTTTGTGATCATAGGCCTCTTCATCATACGGTCTCGTGTACAGATCATTGGGATCATACTGATGGAACCTCTCTCTCTTCTTCTCATCTCTCGTATCCAACGGAATGACACCGAAATGCCGCATACAAAACGAAATGGCCCAATCATCTGGAACCACTTCGTTCGGCAAGCAGAAGGGTTCATCAAACGCAGCCTCCAATTTCTTCAAATATGCCCAATTCATAGCGTACCCTCCACCTCCAGGGGTATACAGTAACCCTCCATCTTTCTTTGTCTCTTGCTTCACCTTAAGCATCGCCGCCACACGATCCGGGTCGTGGTTCTCAAAAGGTTCAAAAAGTCGCTGCATTTCCCACCACTGCAACGTCATCCGATGACCCAAAAGAACTGGTCCGTCCTCGGCAACTGCCCGAATTTCGGGACCATTGAGATAAGTTTTGAGATTCTCCATGATCAAAAAGGTGTCGTCGTCGCACTTAAAGACCCAATCGAATTGGTCCTCGCTGTATTCACGGACCAAAAGCCGCACAATCTCGCGGTGCTTCTGCCACAGCATCTCGTGCAGTGGAGGAGCCACGATCTCCACGGTGGGGACCGATAAGTCTTCAATGTCGCTCATGAACAGAAGTTTATCGCATTTGCGACCCCATGTTCGCTTGATGGCGTGGAGTCGCTTGTCGTGGTTCGCGTGATACGTGTTGACCCAACAGAGCACGCGGGATTTGGCCGCCTCGGATGATAACGGAGACACATTTACAAGTTCCATGGCGGGGACATTGTCGCCCAGTTCTTTGAGGAGTTCAGGCCGGTGGCTGGAGGCAGGGAACACCAACAGCGCGAGGAGCAGCAGCAGCATCCGCAAAGCTGAACTGCTCATCGAATTGTGACGTATGTGACGGGATAGACTGCTTCATGGCATATTGTATCGATTGGCGACTACCGTACGGCATATTGAGGACGTTGTAATATGGGCAATGTACTATTGTGGGTACAATCAGATTTATTGTTCCTTTATGATAGATACATTTTGTGATTCGCTTCTAAATTAAATGGCTTAATCATTTCCATCCATTTCAAAAAGATCTCATTAGAGCTCATTCGCAATCTTGACAGCCACTGCCAATGGCGCGAGTGAACGAGTTCACGCCGCTGCTGGTCGACGACGGCCAGTTTAGCCCTCCCACGCGCCGCCGCAGCGTGTGGCAGTATGTGTTAGCAGGGGCACTGGGTCTTGGCGTCTTGAGCCTGTTTCAACAGCGGAATTCCGTCCCCATTGACGTTACAGACGTCATCGTCTCCTTCGACGAGACTTCAACATCTGACGCCGATGAATTGGCGTTTCGGTCCACTATGGAGACATTCAAGGACCCGACGGTGGACCCTTGTGTGGATTTCTACCAATACGCATGCGGTGGATGGCTGAAGGCGCACGAAATCCCAGCGGACCGTCCCGGCATCGACTCGTCCTTCTACGTCGTCTCGGAGAGCAACAAGGACACGATTCGTAAGATTTTTGACCAAAATCCCCCGCAAATTGGACAATTGTACCATTCGTGTCTCAATACCCAAGAGGTGGACATTGACGCGGTGAATTTTATTGCCAAACTCATTGAAAACGTCCACCAAGTCAACTCCACACTTGAATTGATGGCACTCGCCGGTGAAATAGACCAATCTCTCGGGATCAGCACCTTTTTCAGTGTATCTGTGGGTGCAGACCCCGAAGACCCAACCATAAACGTCCTCCAACTAGCTCAAGGTGGGCTCACACTACCGTCACGAGAATATTACTTGGAAGAGAGCAAGGTGGATGCTTTCGCGGCACTCTATGTGGACTATGTGACCAAATTATTCGCAGTCGGAGGTCTAGACAGTCATAATGTCAGTGAGTACGCCGAGGCGGTCCTAGAGACCGAGACAGCGTTGGCCAAGATCTCTCTGTCAAATGCAGCACTAAGAAACCCGTGGACGACCAATACAGCGTACCCGTTCGCTGAAATCGCTACGAGATACCCATTCTTAATGGCGTATCTTAACGGAATCTACAAATTGGAGCCATTTCCAATGCTTCATGCCATCATCGCCACGCCCAGTTTCTTTGAAGCGCAGAATGAGTTACTGAGTGATGAAACGTTGTTGCCACAGTTGAAAAACTACGTGAGTTTTCATCTCATCGACTCGTTCGGAGCTGTTCTGGGAGAATATTTCCGTCGTGCGAGTCACGAATTTCATGGTAAAATTCAAGGCGCGGGAGATCTGCTTCCCCGGGACCAATTTTGTGTACGTTTAACGACGAACTTTTTGGGAGATGAACTGGGAAAATATTACATGCAAGAGGTGTTTGGACCCGATGCAAAAGCTGCAGCACAAGCTCTGGTGACGGAGATTGAGGAGTCATTGAAAGCTCTACTATTGACCGAGTCGTGGTTGGATAAAGTCACGTATGATGCAGCTGTGGACAAGCTGAACAATGTCAAGAATTACATCGGAGGCCCAGACGATGTCCCACCGCTACCGTTTGAACTACAAGCTGACGCGTTCTTTAACAATGTGAAGAGTTTAATGCAGTTAAGCGCTGCAGATACCATTCAAGCTGTCGGTAAACCAGTGGACGAACAGGCCTGGGATATGTTCCCGTCGACAGTCAACGCGTACTACGACCCGAGTGCGAACAAGATGGTGTTCCCTGCTGCTATCTTACAGCCGCCATTCTACAGTTCTGAGCACTTCCCCGCTGCAGCAAACTTCGCTCGTATTGGAATGGTAATGGGCCACGAACTCTCGCATGGATTCGACGATCAAGGACGAAATTACGATGGCAACGGAGCCCTTCGCTCCTGGTGGACCCCGTCGGTGTCTGCTCAATTCGCAGAGAAAGCTCAGTGTTTAGCAGCCCAGTACTCGTCGTTCCCTGTGGTCTCTAATGAAGACGGGCATGTGCTTGGTACGGTGAATGGTAACCTGACACTTGGCGAAAATATCGCTGACAATGGAGGGATTCATCTCGCATACGAGGCCTATCAGCTTTGGAAAAGTACGTTTGTATCGCCACCGATCGTCCCTCCCCACGAGACCCCAACGCCTCCGGTAGAACCACCATTGCTACAGGCGACGGATACTGGACTTCCTCCTCCAGTCCTTCCTATCCCTGAAGCGGAGACGCCCGAGCCACAGACTGAACCAAGTGGAGATATTCCGGTACCTACCTCACCACATCCTGACGAAACTTCACCAGCACAAGAGCTGCCTATTCCAGAGCAAACGCCTGTTCCAACGGAGACGCATCCAGCTACTGGGGCGCCAGTAATGGCGCCGCCTGCACCAACCATACCGACACCCCCCACTGTCCCTGATACTCCACCCGTGGTGCCTGATGTGCCTGACACTCCAGCGCCGCCAAATGTACCTGACATCCCGCCTCCCGTACCGACCCCTCCGCCTGCAATTATGCCTCCGCCTCAACCAAAGCCAAGTGATGCAACCCCTGACGAGACCTCCAAGCATAAGCATAAGGAAAAAGAGGAACCTGGTGACAAGGAGCACGAAAAACACAAGCAACATGGAAGTGCCTCTGGAAAAGACAAGAAGCATGACAATTCTGAATCAAAAAAGGATGATGAGAAGAACCACAAGCCCAGTGAAAAGGAGGGTAAGTCAGAAGATAAGAGAAAGCACGGCCATGAAACCCACGGTAAGGAGGACGAGAAGTCCAAGAAAACCCACGATAAGGGTGGTGAAGAGAACACGAAGGAAGAGCGTCATAGGCATGAAAATTCTGAGAATAAGGATGACGACTTGAAAAAGCACAAAAAAGACGATGCAAAAAACAAGGAGGACAAATCCGAGGCTCATGAGAAGACGCACCATCACGAAGATGAAAAAGACGGCGACCCCGACGACAAATATCATTATGAGGGTGACCGTGACAAGCATGGCCATAGTGAACATGAAAGCAAGCATGAACGACGTGAAGGCCATCACCGCCGTGACGAAGAAAAGGAAGACAGCCATCATCGTGAAAAGAGGCACCACGATCGTAAAGGGAATGATGGCCGTGACGAGGAAGGAGGCTGTCGTTGTGGAAATCATCACCACTGGGATGAAGATGATTGGGAAAGTGATCGACGCAAGCATCACAAACGCCATGAAGAACACAGAGGAAAGCACCACCACCACCATCACCGTTGGGATGAGGACTATGGCGATGACGACTACGACGGGTACCGTGAATCGAGACATCATAAGAAGCATCATCCTCATCATGAAGAAGAACGAGAAGAACGTTGGCATGAATGTGATTGTGAGCGACACCACCACAAGCACAAACATCACTGGGACCACGACTGGGAGCGCTTGGAGCGCAAGTATCCGTTTTCCCATGGCAACCTGAGGATCCACACTATGGTCCAGAAGCTAGCTCGTGCTATGGTGCTGCCCAGTGACTCAGTGGCAGATGATCAGCTGTTCTTTACGGCGTTTGCTCAGAACTGGTGTGAGAAGAGCACACCTGGATATGCAGAGCTATTGCGCACAATCGACCCTCATTCGCCTGGTAAGTGGCGTGTCAACGGCCCGCTGATGAACTACAACAAGTTTGCTGAGGCGTTCTCATGCCCAGTGGGAACCCCCATGAACCCAGAGAAGAAGTGCGTCATTTGGTAAGAGACTGGAGTGTAATGACCACAGCAGCACAGTCGACCCACGAAGGACCACGGCATCGTTGAGACGCTCAAAAGCCAATGCAAATCAAGTATTTCGGTTTTATAATTACGACTCGCGGTTCACATGTCTTGCTTTACCACCTCTCTGCAAATGCATGTAGGTTGCATCGGGTTCTATTGATAGTTGAAGTTGCCATTTTGAGTAGGAAAACGACTGCGTTCGTTGTCTTCGGGGCCGTCAACTTTCGTGAAAATGGGTCGCAACGGTGTCAAGGTGATCATCCGCACGCGGCCGACAGCGAGTTTTGCCACGCACCAGCTGCAGATCGATCCGGATGACAGTACGATCACCGTGTACAGCGGGGCGGCAGCTATCGCCGCAGCCTCAGGCGGCTTCTCGCCTCCTAAAACAGACGCAGGACCGTCGAACCGCAAGGATTGCTGGCAATTCAAGTTCCACCAGGTGCTGCACAATGCCGGTCAAGACCGCGTCTACGAGGCCATCGCACGCGACATCGTACACGGCGCAGTAGTGGACGGCATCAACGGTACCATTTTGGCCTACGGACAGACAGGAGCGGGCAAGAGTTTTACTATGATTGGCGATACACGCAATTATCAGCATCGAGGCATTGCCCCCCGAGCGATCGCGCAGCTATTCGAGGAGGTGGAGAGCCGTATCGAGCTGCAATATACTGTGCGTGTATCCTACATGGAGATCTACAACGATCGCATCTTTGATCTTCTAGAGGGGCAACACGGTGATCGCAATGGGGGTGGCAATGGGGAACTTGTAGTGGTCGAGGATTCACGAGGAACGTATGTACGAGGCCTCTTACAAGTGGAAGTACGCAGTGAACAAGAGGCTCTGGACCAGTTGTTCAACGGTGAACTGCAACGCACCGTGGCTGAGCATCAACTGAACAAGCGCTCGAATCGTTCTCACTGCATTCTGACCTTCCACATTTCTCAAAAATCCCGTGCTGGGGGTACTGAACGCGTAACATTAAGCAAACTACATCTCGTGGATCTTGCAGGAAGTGAGAGACTGAAGAAAACATTCGATGGAGAGCTAACGGGAAGTCCTACAAAAGCTTCTGCCAGAGCAAGCGCAGCAATGTCGACTATCAAGAAGGAATCCATGTATATTAACCAGAGTTTGAGCTTCCTAGAGCAATGCATCGTGGCTTTGGGCTCCAAGGAACCACGACATATCCCGTACCGCCAGACCAAACTCACGAACGTCCTCAAAGACTCACTTGGAGGAAACTCCAATACGCTCATGTTTGCGTGTATCTGGGGTGAAGGACGTCATCTCGAGGAGACCATCTCGACACTAAAACTAGCACAGCGAATGATGCGAGTACAGAACGAAGTGGCCACCATAGTGGAGACAGATCCAGCGCTGTTACTACGTAAATACGAGCGACAGATCCGTGAGCTTAAGCACGAATTGGTCATGCACGACGCACTGGTGGAGCGCACAGCTGTGGTCTACGATGAGCACACACCTGAGCAGAAGCACCAGCTACAACAAATGATACGACGTTATATCGACGCACCGACCCAAGAGATGGAAGACGAAGCACTGCGCCTTACAAGCGTACACGAAATCCGTGAACTATTCCGTCAGTTCAAGCTGCTCTTTAAGAGTTATGAGCGGGACTCTATTGACGTGGGATCTGGTGTCAACGGATCAGGTTCTAGACACCCCAGCACCTCAACTAGAGCAGGTTCTGCTGGGTCTTCAGCATCGAGAGTACAAACATCACTTGGTTCTCGAAGGGATCTTCAAATTCGCGCAACGCATGGCCCTAATGGCGAAGAACTGGTGGGCGAAGAGGATCCTGGTGCTGTCGGGTTCCCTCTCGGTCTTGTACCAGGTGCCGCTAGACCTTCTACAATGGACACTGGCAAGAAAAACTATCGTGGAGTGGTAAGTGGCCTAGATAACACTCCGAAAGTTAATGGACAGCGAAGTCCATCAGCCTCGCGGTCGCCTAGTGGGGCTGAACTGCCTGGTATCTCTGACAACAACGAAGATGATCGTGGAGATGATGAAGCGCTCTACAAAGGAGGAAATGATGCTACACCGTCGCAGGATGCTGACACTCGTGCGAAGAATGACGCGTTCCAGTTCTACCGATCTGTTGGGCCCGGGAGAAAACTCCATCAGAATCTACAGACCGAAAAGGACAAGTTATTCGACGCCAAACAGCGTGTTAAGCAGGTTACACGTCGTGTGAATGCTGCGAAAGCTCAGATTGATTCTGTCCGTGCACAGCTCGAAAGCAAACGCAACCAGCGAGGAAGTACTGATGCTAGTAATCGTAAGAGTACAGCCAAGCAGGTACAAGACCGTGACGAGGTAGTCGACGAAGAAGAGTTTATCTTAATGACCGCTGAGCGAGAGGCTAAACGAGACTACCGATCGCTTTTCGGAGACCTTAAAGATGCAAAAGCTGAGCTGGAATTCTCACTCCGCAGTGTCGAACTTCTTCGACGACGTCTTGTGCGTGAGTTTGAGGATTGGTACGATGAAGAGGGCCATGCTCACGCTCTTAATAAGAGCTCAGGTGCTTATGACGCGTTCGCTAGACCTGCTTTTAGCAAGGATGATATCCTGGATGACGGTGAGAAGTTCGACCAAATGGAAATAGATCGCATCAGAGCGCAAGATCCCGACTCGTTAGCATTCTTCCAAGCCCAAAAGAAGATGAGACAGCAAAGTGCCACAGCGCAGCGAAAAGCTAAGCGTTGATGCATTCTACGTCAAGAAATGTAGGCAAATAGTGATCAATAAAATACCTATTTTTCATTACTTTTCGAGTATTTGGTGTCTATAGGCAGAGATGAGTAGTGGTCGATGGCCGAATCTGCTGGTATTTCACCGTTTTCTGCCTTGTCACGACGCTCTTTCTTCTTCTTGGAGTGTTTAGTTTTCTTCTTTGTGGTCGGAGCTTCACCAGGTTCGATCCCGTTCCCCTCAGCTTCGTCTTCTTGTCGCTCCTTTCGACGATGTCGATGATTCCCTTGCCGACTTCCGTTATCTCCTCGACTGGCAGATCGTGCCTTCTCTGTTGTAGCGGCTGGAGGTGTGTGCTCTAACTGACCCATGCCTGCTCTGGTATTCCCACTGGTACTTCCACTTCGTTGTCGCGATTCTTGTCTAGAACCTTGACGTGACTGCAATCGATCACGAGGCTGATACTCACCCGATAATGGGGTCAGTAGATCCTCCTCTCCAGGGAAATAGTGACTCGCCCCTGGAGCTTCATATGCACTAGCAATTTGAGGCTCTTGCTCTTGAGGTTGACGTTGGTGAGTACCAGAACTCTTCTCTTTCTCCTTGACTTTCCGCCGTTCTTTACTGCCATTCGAGCTGTTATGCGGACTCATTCCTCTAGCGATTAAAGCAGCTTTACTGTCCGGTCGACTAGTGTGAATAGCACTAGGAAGACGAGCAGTAGTAGCAGGCGTGTGGCCTGTAAACCCTTCTTCGTAGGGGCTAATCGCTGCAACATTCTGTGAAGATGGCCGTGAAACACCACTCTTTTTTCGCTTGGTACTCGATGAAGACCCCAATGAACGCACCGTAGCGTGACCGGTAGCTCCTGCACTGCTCTGTCGACCATTTACTTCCTCTTCAACCACCACCTCCGCACCTCCAGATTCAATACCAGCACCTCCTAGTGTCGGGAGTTTGATCATGTGGAAGTCGCTACGTGGCTTCAACTTTGGCAGGTTCCATTCCTCTCGTTCTTCACTCCACACTGCTCGTTCCCACACTTTAACCAGTTCGTTCTGCGGCAAGAAAAGTTCAACAAGTTGTTCCAACAACTTCGCCTCTTTGGTCTGCTCTCGAATTGTATCCAACAAGTTCTCACGCTCGTGTTCAAACTCGCTGTTAAGATCAGCGATCTCTTGTCTCGTGGCATCGAGCTTAGCTTTGTATTTGGCCTCTTTCTTGCGGGCTGCAACCAAGCTCGCTTGAGCGGCTTCTTGCGCTGTCTTCAACTCTTCTTCAACCTGTTGCTTCTCCAACTCGAGAGCTCGTCGCATTGCCTCATTTTTGGCTTGTTTCTTGGCTTTCTCGCGTAGTTTAATCTGTGCCCGTCGATACTCCACCTGCTGCTTTAGTAATGCTACCTCGGAGTCGGCATCGTGGCCATTAGCGGACCCACGCGTGGACGATGAACCGGATGCACCTCCGAGGATATGGCTCTCGATCTTCTTAAGTTTGGCATGCAGCATCTCCTTTTCACGTAGATAGGCCTCCATCGCCACTTGTGTTTGTTCTAGTTCCTGGCCAATTCGATCTCGTTGGTTTAGGATTGCTTGATTCAGTTCACGAAGCTCGTCTCGCTCCTTCGCGTGTGCATCTGGGATCACTTCTTTCACTACGACTTCTACCTGTTGAGCAATCTGCCGTTGAGCAGCTTCTTTCATCATAGCTTCGGCTTTTGCCATCATCTCTTTCGCTTGTGCGTCGATCTGAGCGGCTTCATGCATCGCTTGCTTAATAGCTGGATCCTCAGTGGCAGCAGGTGGTGGTGCAGTGTCTCCAACTGGTTCTGGCTTAGCTTCTTGCTTGCCAAAAAGACCCAAAAGAGGCTGCAAATTCCCCAATACACCAGTACTTTTTTGCTTTTGAACAACAACTTCTGTATCCTTTGCTGGATCTGGTGGTTGCGCTTGATTCTGAGCTTGCAAAGCCTTCGCCTCGTCCATCATTCGTTTGGCTCGTTCAAGCATTTCTGCAGCTTCTTGTTGGTATTTTGCGATCTCTTGACGCTCTTTAGCTAGATCTGCGCTGTTACTATTAGAAAGAGGTCGTGACGGGGTTCCCAGTCTACTTGATGTACTCAATTCATTGCCCCTCGCTTGTGTTTGGGACTCGAGCATTTTTCTCAACCGTTCGATCTCTTCTTTGTACTCGCGCAGCTTGGCATCTTTCGGGTCTTCGTTCACAATGGGCTTGTTCTTGATATTCTTGGCGCGATTGGCGTACCGTAGAGTGGAGAGTGTTTCGTCATAGTTGTAGTCTGCTGGGCTTACGGCAGCCACCATGAGAGTTTTGGTGTTGCCACCCAAGGAATCTTGCAGTAACCTCGTAAGTTTTGAATCTCGGTACGGAATGTGCTTGCCCTTGCCGTCTACAAGTGCTGAAATGACGTTACCCAATGCCGATAAACTCAAGTTGATCTTACATCCTTCCTGTAAAAAAAACTAAAAGTGAGGAAGACATTTAAAAAAAAACACTGGGGTACTTATACCTTAAGACGATTGCCCGTGGCACCGGTTTTACTTTGACGCTCGCTTCCTGCTAGATCTACTAAATTCAACTACAAATCATATTTTTTTAGTGTAAAGCAGCATGTCAATGGTGTCGCGAAACTTACCTTCCCAGCCTTGAAATGATCTTGTCCTCCGATAGTTTCGCTTGTCTCGACTACTACCGTGAAGATGGAGTGAGATCGAGACGAGCCTTCATTCTAATGAAGAAATCACAAAAATGAGCTACATAACCACAAAATTCACAGATGCTGCATACCATGAGAGTAGCCCCAACAGTTCGGTTCTTGAATCCTCGACTCATGACATTGTTCATAGACTCTACATCCCTGACCACAATTTCTGTAAGGTCCTTCACGTATACTGTTCCATCTGCAGACTCCTTCAGATCCAATTTCTTCTTAGCGTCATCGTTGAGAAGATCACGAATGTCTTCATTGTAGATTTCCAGATACGACGCTCGAACCATGTACTCTCTCGTTGTATCCGCATTGATCGTATCAAAAATATGATCGAAAGATAATGGGATGACACCACGCAGTTCTGGAGGAGAATCTTTCCCCTGCATGGTATGTGTCTTACCACAACCTGTCTGTCCGTACGCGAATATCGTGCCATTGTAGCCGTCAAAGATCGACTCTACTAGCGGGTACCCGGACTCATCGTAAAACTGTCGCTGGGACGTGTTTTCATCGTAAACAGAGTCGAACGTGAAGGACTTGATCTGACCATTATCGGGACATTTGAGTGAAATCAAGGCTGCCGCTTGATCCAAAGTTATGATCGATTTTCGACCTTCGACGAGCTCCTTGCCGAATAGCGGTCGGCAACGCACCACCACTTTTACAGTCTCTTTATCCTTGCTAGTACCTCCCGTAGGTCCTGTTGTCTCATTTGCATCCATCCTACGATTTCACTGCAAGTGTGGCGTGTTAATAAAACGAGATGGCTTCAACCTCGACTCAAACAGCTCTCCTCCGGGGAAGTACCTGTACCACATCAAAAATAGATGTCTGGTGAGAACTACGACGGCAAGCAAGGTGTTCATATTTAGAACGAATGTCTGCATTCTGAGAACATTGGAATAGAAAACGCCGAGATTTCCCACGGAAGACACTTTCAAAATTCGAATGTACTTTGCGCACAGTGCCCTGGTAGCCCATACAGCATTCAACCATTCAGATTTTAACTTTGAAAGGATTTGGTACGGTCTGACATCCGAACACAATTCCACAAGAACTAGCATTCCACTTACGAACTTCATTTGTTAACCCTAAATACGTTTTGGTACGAGATCGTTGAGCATCTAAAACACTTTTGTGATGGCGTGATCTGGCACCGCGTAATATTTGCTGTGATGTACAAAGATTTGTGAGGTGGTGATCATGCACCAAAATATTTGTTATGATGTATTCTGTGTTGGGTACGTAGGTACTAGTACATGCTACACAGACTAATCAAAAACCAATTCGGGAAGGAAATCAAGAGTGATGTGGGAAATATTAAAGCTAGGATTCACAGATCGGATGTAAGCTCACTACATAACTCAGAGCTACGCCGGATACACGTATTAATAACAGCACTGTACGTTGAAGTAGAAAACTAACGTGTAGTAAGTAGTCCAGCATACGAAATATGAGTCTTCGATAGATCTTGGATTGGCTTTCTCAACTATAGAGTCTCAAGCTTCGGAATATTTCTACCCGCTCCTCGCCTTGCCAACCAAAAAGCAGCTTGGTTCCCTTCATTCTCGTACCTTTTTCAAGATCCTCACAACTACATCTCCAGCCTTCTGCTCAAGTCGAACTACCAAGGGTTCAACAAGAACATGCGTCTTCAATGCGCCGCAGTATTGGTGGCCCTACTCGCATGCGTCGTTGGTGTCTCTCTGGCCAAGAAACCAGAAACGACGGAAGTGGGTCCGTTCGCTACGACTGGCAGCGGTATTATAACAGGAAAGCTGCTCAAATCGAGCGTCACCAACGCTGAAGGCGATGAAGAAAGACTGACGGGTCTCGAGAAACTCACCAAGGTTATCGAGTCGGTGAAATTAAAATACAAGGAGAGTAGCCAGTTAGATTCCTGGCCGACGGAGAGGTAATCTGCGAACGGGGTTTTCGACCTGCTCAAGCTCGACGACGGGGTGGGAAATAATATGACAAACATATTGAGGGTTACCG